TTGCAAAACTCCTAGCCCAAATAATTCGCTTAAGGGCTCACGACCCCAATCACCCTATAAAGTCCATCAGACTTGATAACGCTGGAGAGTTTACATCAAAAACATTTGATGATTATTGCATGTCTATCGGGATCGACATAGAGCATCCCGTTCCCCATGCACACACACAAAATGGTCTCGCAGAAGCTACTATTAAAAGATTACAAACGATAGCTAGGGCATTGGTTATGCGCACCAACTTGCCTATATCTGCATGGGGATATGCAATATTACATTCAGCCTTACTTATTCGCTTTAGGCCCGCTGCGAACCAACCATTTTCTGCGTACCAGTTGGTAACTGGATATGATCCTGACATTTCACACTTACGCATATTTGGTTCTGCAGTCTATGTGCCAATTGCGCCACCACAGCGCACCAAAATGGGTCCTCAAAGGCGATTAGGTATATACGTTGGATACGAATCCCCAACAATAATCCGCTATCTAGAACCTTTGACAGGCGATCTTTTCACCGCAAGATTTGCGATTGTCACTTTGATGAGACAACATTCTCGTCGTTAGGGGGAGATAAGAAAAAGGATTGTTCCGAAGAACGACGTGAATTATCCTGGTGTGTTCCTACACTATCTCATTTTGATCCCTGCACCTCACACTGTGAAAGTGAAGTGAAAAGAATAATAGACCTGCAAAATGTAGCAGACTCAATGCCTGATGCATTTTCTGATATTGCAAAAGTGACAAGATCACACATACCAGCTGCAAATGTGCCTGCAAGGTTAGAAGTCCCCAAGGGAGGGCACAATGCCATAGTAGGAGGCACTACAACCACACTTAGTGGAGGTGTGGTTGAGGCCGTGGCTCCTCAAAGGAAGAGAGGAAGACCACTTGGTTCGATTGATACTCGTCCAAGGAAGAAAAGGTCGAGTACGGCACAACCTAACCCAATAATCATCGATGAACAACATCCATCCCATGAGATTATCTCCGATTATAGTTATGTCCACGAATCATTACTGGAGGACGCTCCGATGATCGAGATGATTCAAGAAAATAAGGAAATCTCTATGGATTATGAAAATGCACATGTGCTAATGGAAAGATCTTCCATACACATCGATGATATATTTGCATTTACAGTTGCTCAAGAAATTATAGAGCACGATGATATCGAACCACGCTCTGTGGCAGAATGCCAACAAAGAGCTGATTGGCCTAAATGGAAAGAAGCAATCCAGGTTGAATTAGATTCCCTGACAAAAAGGCAGGTATTTGGTCCGGTAGTGCTAACCCCACCAAGTGTAAAGCCTGTAGGACATAAATGGGTATTTGTCAGAAAGCGTAATGAGAAGAATGAAGTCCTAAGGTACAAGGCTCGACTAGTGGCGCAAGGTTTCTCACAACGCCCTGGGATTGACTACGAGGAGACCTACTCTCCCGTAATGGACGTTATCACGTTCCGATACCTAGTCAGCTTAGCAGTTTCTGAAGGATTGGAAATGCAATTGATGGATGTGGTTACTGCATATATATCTCTATGGGGATCTTGATTCAGAGATATATATGAAAGTACCCGACGGACTTTCACTACCTAAATCAAGTGACTCTAAACCACGGAGTGCGTTTGCAATAAAATTGAAACGCTCACTTTACGGATTAAAGCAATCCGGGCGGATGTGGTATACCCGCCTAAGTGACTACTTGATTAGGAAGGGATACAAGAATGATGAGCTTTGCCCCTGCGTATTCATAAAGAAAACGAGTTCCAGATTTGCAATCATAGCAGTATATGTCGACGACATGAACATAATTGGCACTCTTGACGAAATAAGAGAAACCGCAAGCTATTTGAAATCCGAGTTTGAGATGAAAGACCTTGGGAAAACTCGATTTTGTCTAGGTCTTGAATTAGAACATCGAGTTTGTGGAGTATTAATCCACCAGTCTGCGTATATCCAAAAGGTACTCAGGCGATTTAACATGGATAAAGCGCACCCTGCTAGCACTCCCATGGTGGGCCGAAGTCTAGATCCTAAAAAGGATCCATTTCGTCCAAAGGAAGATGACGAGGAGACATTAGGAGCTGAAATTCCATACCTAAGTGCAATAGGCGCATTATTGTACTTAGCACAATGCACTCGGCCCGATATAGCATTCTCAGTGAACTTGTTAGCTAGATTTAGCTCTGCGCCTACGCAGCGTCACTGGAACGGTATCAAGAATATCTTTAGATATCTTAAAGGGACCAGTGACTTGGGACTATTCTTTCCCTACAGAGAAACGAAGAAAACCACAAATGGAGTTGTGGTCGCAAAGGACAAAACGGTCACCCCCCTGAAAACCCCAAATGATGTCTTGGTAGGTTTTGCTGATGCTGGGTACCTCTCCGACCCACACAAAGGCCGTTCCCAAACTGGCTATGTTTTCACAATCGGGAATACGGCAATATCCTGGAGATCAACTAAGAAAACCCTTGTGGCTACCTCCTCGAACCACTCAGAGATCATTTCTCTACATGAGGCGGTCCGTGAGTGTATATGATTAAGAGCTATCATTGCACACATTCGAGGAACTAGTGGCTTAAAGCCTACCACTGAAGAGCCAACCTGCATCTACGAGGATAATGCAGCCTGTATCGAACAAATGAAATTAGGATACATCAAGGGTGACAATACAAAACACATATCTCCCAAGTTCTTCTACAATCAGCAACAACAGGCCTTCCTCAAGATCCAAGTAAATCAAATAAGTTTGGAAGAAAACATAGCAGACTTGTTTACCAAGTCATTGCCCAAGGCCACATTCGAAAAACATGTGAAAAACATTGGAATGTGTAAGCTTTCTGAAATCCCTTGATTAATGTAAATATCAAGGGGAGGTGTAGACTTCATGGGGAGTCTTACACCCTCACGTTATACTCTTTTCCTTAAACCAAGCTTTATTTTCTCCCATTGGGTTTTTGTTACTTGGTAAGGTTTTTAACGAGGTAACTGTGAGTAACGATCAAGGTAAAGAATTCAAAAGGACTCAATGAACGAAGTCCAATAAACTCTAGTTTCTCTTCAAGGTTTATTTTTCCCACAGGGTTTTTGTTACTTGACGAAGTTCCTACACGACAACTAGCTTGGTGTGCATCATGCTATCTACAACTCAACACAAGGGGGAGTGTTGAAGGAAATTACTTTAATGTGCATTCGTTATAGATAGAAAGTGTACCTAGGGATTATATGTATTGAGGTAATTGGCCCATTGGCCCACTCCTTGTAAAACCCTAATCACCCCTATTTAAAGGGGGCTTACTAATGGAATGAATACTACTCTCACTTCCCTACAACATACGGGACATTTAATAAACAACGGATGGAGTACTATACAACGTATAATAATTCCAAAAAGAGTTAGTGACTTAGTGGTCCTTTTCCGCTAGATGTTAGGACATTTCCTTTATTGCATCTTAATATTATCTCCGTCCCAAAAAGGTTTGTCATATTCACTTTTTTGGACAATAATGACAAACTTTAGACAATGATCAATTATAATTAATATACCGAGTATTTGTCTAACATTTATAAATTTTATACTTCTATGAAAATATTTTGAATTAAGAACAATTTCATGTAATTTTCATGTTCAAAGCAATTTTGTTTTAAAATAGGTAGTAGATCATTGGTCAAAGCTGATTGTAATTGACCATAAAAAGTGAAGGGGTTAGGACAAGATTAATACTAAAAATTAACTTATGGACAAAAAAGAGACCATTTGTTAAAAGTTCCAAAAAAGAGACTAAAAATAAGTAAGAGGACTATTATACCCTCCTCACTTGATCTATTAACACAATAACTAATAACTAACCCTACAGTGACAAATATCAAAGTGACCAATGTTCACCCGTCCAATGACCAATGTCCAGTGACCAACGCTCGCTCGTCTAGTGACCAACGCTTGCCCGTCCAGTGACGGGCGCCTACCCGTCCAATGACTAACGACTGTCCGTCCAGTTACAGTTACCCGACTCGACCAGTTACAGTTACCTGACCCGAACAGTTACAGTTATCCGACCCTACCAGTTACAGTTACCCGACCCGACCAGCTACAATTATCGGACCCGATCAGTCACAGTTACCTGACCCGCACCCCGACCAGTTACAGTTACCCGACCCGCGCCCCTACCAGTTACAGTTATCCGATTCGACCGTTTTACAGTTACAATTACCATATTTTACGAGTAATAGTTATCCAACACGATTCGTTACGCGTTCACACAGTGACCACCACCGTCAGCCACCGCCAGTGACCATCACCTCCGGCGACCACTAGCGTCAGCCACGACCATCGACCACCACCACCTCCCCGTCCAGTAATCGCCACTCCCCTGCCCCCCCCCCCCCCTCCAGCATGCATCCCTGCCCCAGCCCCACAACCCTAGCCGCGGCGGCAGATGGACCTGCAACCCTAGCCCCGGCCATGGCCCACCCCACGATAACTACCAATTGATGGCGAGGGCAGATCTGGCAGAGGAAAGCCATCCAGCAACTCCGATCTTCGTTCCGATCAAGATCTACGGTGAGGGCGGCGACAAGCGATTTGAAAAAGAAGAAAATAGAGGAAGGAGGAGATCGAAGGAGAAGGTGATGTTGATGATTCGAGTTGTGGCGGCTGCGGACGAAATAGCAGATACGAAGATCTACGGCGAGGGCGGCGTAGATCTGTCATTCTTCGTATCTAAAGAGCCTCCGCCGTGTCACGCCGTCATAAACCGCCATCTCTGTCGGAGCTTAAACCTTGTATGGAGCCGTCATCGTCGGAGCTGGAGGCTGGTCTGGGGCCGTCGTTGCCGAAGTGGACTGGAGCCATAGCCGCATGAGATGTGAGCCAGACGAAAGGTAAACGGCTGGGGTACGTTTAGGCATTTAAAGTGAGGGCATTTTTGTCACTTCAGTGATTTTAGGTCCCGTTTTTGTCTAAATCAAAAGAAGGTCTTATTTTGGTCCATCTACAAGTCGGTAATCACGTTTTTGCCATTATTTCAAAAGTGAATTTGATGAACCTTTTCAGAACGGAGGGAGTATTAAAAGATTCCTTTCCGTCAAATTAAACGGCAGTCAATCTTAATAGGCTAAAGGGTCAAATAGGTACATAAACTAACATAAAATATTCAATTAGTCCCTTATATAAGAGGTTCTGCCCGGACGTCGCCAATTGGGGCCGTTCCCGGTGGAATTTTTTGATGAAATTTTTTGAGCATCTTCTTCATTAAGTCTAGTTTACCCATATAAAATTTCAGCTAAAAATTAAATCGGGAAGACAGTCAAATGATTTTTCGAAATGTAACGCGCTGTTTAACTGCACAGTTATCTTCAAAAAATCATTTGACTGCCTTCCCGGTTGAATTTTTAGCTGAAATTTGGTATTGGTAAACTAGACTTAATGAAGAAGATGCTCAACAAATTTCATCAAACAATTCCACCGGGAACCGCCCCAATTGATGACGACCGGGCAGAGCCTCCTATATAAGGGCTAATTGAACACTTTAAGTTAGTTCATGTACCTATTTGACCCTTTAGCCATCTTAATATATTCTGTACATCTCAACTTTGGAATAAAACATTCCAAACATACTGCCTGTTTATACCTACAATAGAATATGCATTACATATCAATGTTATAATCGACTAAATAAGTGATTTTCCGTTAGTATAACTAAAAAAGCAAAATCATCTTATCTCGTACACAGTAGGTAGAGATACTAGTAAATATATACTCCGTATATATCTAAGCTAGCATCTAACGCTCTCGTGACATAGTAAAACTCATAGACGGCCTTGCTTAAGAACCCCGGCCTTTGTTGGGTTCATAAATCTGGCGATATGCTTGCAACATCTCCAACACAAGTAGCATAATCATGATCAGATACACCAGACACTTCATACCAGTTCCCACAGGCTTCCTCATCAACTTCACACCATTGTCAACCTTCTTCTCAACACACTTCCACACCCTTTTCAACACATACCTCTTCCTCTTTTTCTCCCATTCCTCCACCATCTGCTTCACTTTTTTCACCACATCCCTGCTTGCACACTCCTTCTTCGGCTTCGAGTTCCCCACGATTTTTCCGATCCCGTTGAAGATTTCAAGAACTTCTCCGTCTGTTAGGTCTCCCGTGATGATATCCTTCACCCGTAGCATCACCACGTCATCAGGTGTCTGGAGTAAGTTGCTCATCAGATGAATATATCCATCAAGCTCAAAGGCTGACTCTGGGGTTGCAATGGCAGATTCATATGCCACCAAGTTTCTTAAAACCACCTCTGAATCATATTTTAAAGTGATCTCTGGGAGATAAATCTTTTTTGTGCATTGGATGTCAAATTTGATATCCCTAATCCCTTCCCATTCCAGCAGCTTGAAATCCACAAGGTGTTTCTTGGACAGCTCCGATGCTGAAGGAATTTCATGACTCTTCTTTGGTGGTTTTGATAGTTTAATCTTAGTAATTTCATCAGCTAACTTGCTGCTAATCTCCAAAACTTGTAATGCCTCCAAAGCTAATAGCATTGGATTAATCCAATTGGATGCCCCTGCTCCTAGTACTTCACTTAAAGCTTTTAATGCCTTTGTCCCTACCTCTGTGATTCTGAATGCTGATAATGGCTGACTCCTTGCTCTACCCCGGTTTATGACCCGATTATACATATGTGCGAGGAGGTGACTGCCTTTATAGTTGCGGTCCACCTGACCCCTTTCAAGTTTTAGGGGAGAGTGAGCTTTGCAGAAGTAGTAAAACAGTTCTGAATGCAGCGTTAGTACTGAGATACCTAAATAAAAAAAACAATAATCATATACGGAGAAGTAAAAAATACTCCCTCCTTGTTTTAATGTTCGCTACATTTGGTTGGACACATTATTAAGAAGTAAAGTAAGGATAGTTGAGTATTTTAGAAAGAGTAAATTTACCGAAAATGAAAGTGTAACAAACTTTTAAATACATCCCAAAAAAGAACAAAAAAGAAAATATAGCAAACATTAGCATACCGAGGGAATAATAGTACTCCATATAACAATAATAATTTTATTATGGAGTATTTATTATTATTTCCTATTCACTTATTATTACTATCTTACAATAATGTTGATATAATATTACGGAGTACTAGTTTTTTTTTCCGGATATTATTAAAATAGAACAAACATATGATTATAAAATCAGTGATAAAGTACCACAATTATCACTGGGATGTGGAGTTGAACATGGTTATCATCTTTGTTAGTAATATACGGTACGTGAATAATACAATAATACGTTCGTTCGTGTATAATACGATACAATTATATAAAATACGGCTTAATATATGTTTCATACGTTCGTGAAATATATAAAGATACGGACGCGTTTTAAACGTTTCACAATTTAAAAATACGGCATATAATATGTGTCTTATATACGAAGTACTTATTTAATGATAGAAATAAAGAGTTATTTAACATTTGCACCCCAATCTTCAACAATTTAAAATGTACGGAATAGTTTTTTTTCTTCAGATTTACGTATTTAAATGCATAGGTACAATACGTAATAAAAATGACATTGCTTATTTAAGTAGAAGTAGAGAGATATTACTAGAAAATAGTTGATATTACTTTGACCATGAGTTTAGTGAGCCGCCACAACATTTTTCAATCTCTTTGGAGTCTTGGTATATGGGTGGAGAACAAAAGTAATACAGTAGTAGTACAATAGAAATATCGAAACAGATTACGAATTTAAGAAGCTAATTCATTAAATGTAATGACCGTTAAACAATTAGCGAACATATAAGGCATAACGTTTTTAAGCAATATAAATAATATTGATTAGCTTGACATGCATTTTGTTTCAGTTGTACCACTCCATTAGGCTTCCGTTTAATGGTGTTTTTTTTTTAATAAAATACGTATCAATACGTACAGTACGTGTATTATACATTTTATTCTTAAAGCACGCGAGTTTTTCAGAATTTTCTGAAAAATTCATAAACAGGAGTATTATACGTAATAAAATACGTATCAATACGTACGGTACGTGTATTATACATTTTATCCTTAAAGTACGTGAATTTTTCAAAAAATTTTGAAAAATTCATAAACGGGAGTATTATACGTGAATTGTACGTTCGAGTGTATTATACGCGAATTATACGCGAATAAACTAACAGAGGTTATCATAGCCACTTTGAAATATCACTATTGTTGACGACTTGACCGCACTTGGAAATGTTAAAATTCGAGACATTTACTCGCAGAAACCTTTCAACGGAGAAAGTAACAAATATGACACCAGAAAGAATGAGACAATTATAATAACGAGAACAAACCTAGGTATTTCCCCATCTCTTCTACCACACGTTCCGGGATTTGATTCTCCAACTTTAAGATATCCTTGGCCAGCTCTTGGCAACCAGGTTCGACAGTTTCAGTTTCCTTCCCGTACATGGCCAAAAAAGCGAGCAGATAGAAAGAATCAAGGGCGAGGATGTAGTCTAGAGTGGAGCATTCCAGATCCAAGTACTGGTCGTAGCTGGCCCGAACCAGCAGCTCCAAATCCCTCATCTTTTTCAGGATGTGCTCGGAGAAGTTCATGGATGGGTTTTTCCCGAGAAATTTGTTGACGGCGACAAGCTTTTGGAGGTTTGCGGCGTGGAGGTCGGGCCGGAGATGATGGTACGGTCCCATGCCGAGTAGCAGAGGGGTGTAGGCTTCTGGCTTGGTTTCGCTCAAGGATTTTGGGACTTGAAAAATTGTTGGAGAGAAGCCATCGATTTCTAAGATGAGTTCTGATTGTAAGGCTCTGGTACCTAGGCTCACCCACCTTTCTTCATCAATGGACGGACTGAACTCTGAATTGGCAGCCATTAATCTCGGACAGAGGATGTTCTATGTTTTAATTGCATGAAGTGTACTGATCATGTTTTTTTATAGAGTAGCTTAGCATGTGTTCCAAATGACGCGTAAGAAATATGATATGGCACGGTGTTCACACTACTATTTCAGTGGGTTGCACTATTGTAGTGGGAGGCAATAGACTATTTTGTAGATTTAATTTTGACGGGGTTTGGTTTTTTTGGGTAAGTCCTGCCTAATTTGAATAATTGAATATACTTCTTATAATGTATTCTTCCTTCCCGTTAAATTGTCCCATTTTTGTTTTCGGGAAATCTCACTAAAATTGTATAATACAAAGGTTGGGGATGGGGTTGGGGCAGATAGGTTGGGGATGGGGTTGAGAAGCAGTGGGGGCTGGGGTAGCAAAGGAGGGGACTGGGTTGGTTGTGGTGTGAAGCTGTGTGGGGGGAGCAGGGGAGGGGGCTGGGGGCAGAAAAGGGGGTTGGGAGAGGATGTGGGGGTATTGTGGGAGGTTGGCAGTAGAAGCTGCGGAGCTGGCGGTGCAAGGCTACGATGTTGGCGGTGGGATGATGTTTCTGGGCGGATTTGGTGATGGAAAGTGACATGGGCAGTGGTTACAGTGGCACTGGCGGTGGCTACAGTGACACGGGCGGTGGCTACAGTGACACGAACGGTGGTTGTAAAGTTGTAGTGACACAGGCGGTGGCTACAGTGACATGAGTGGTGGCCACAGTGACACGGGCGGTGGTTATAGTGACATGTGTGGTGGCTGTAGTTACAAAAAAACGAATACGCAGTGACATAAAATTTTTGCAGTTACATCATGTTTTCTAATTGCACATATATGATCTTCTTGATCACTTTTTTGCCCCTTTTTAAAAGTGATCACTTTTTGGGTAATTGGTTCAAAATTAGTAATATCCAAGTAAAAACCCCTTATAAGTTTTTATAGATTATATTAATAAGAATGATTTAGTGGGACAAACTAAAATGAAGGATGAAAGATGAAAGAATGGAGATACATACATAATTGTACCCCGACCCGAATACATAAGTTTGCTTACCCATTAATCTTGATGTTCTACCGTGGGAAGCAACTTAACGGAGAAGAAAGAGTTCAAGATGTCTCGATTTATAATCTATTTTGGGGATATTGATTAATTTTAAAGTTCTTTCTAAAGTTTAAAGCTTGTTTGATAAATGTCTAAAATTAATACTCTAGTGTCTAAAATTAGTAAAAATCTCTTGTAATTTAAAGAGTTTAACTTCTAGATTCTTCTGAAATTTATAAAGTTTTGACAGAAGTGTTTGAATTGACTGATTATGCTGATTTATAAGAAAATTAGCTATAAAATATATTTTGTCAATAAAATAAAGAAAATATTATATGAAAAATAGCTAAAATGATCCGCTACAATAACTCACACATAAAATTAACTCTGACCTTACTTATTTTGTGCATTGTATAATTCAGCGCGCGAAATCAAAAGTTATACTTTTGATTAAAAAAAAGTTGGTTGATAAAATTGATAAGTTGAAAACAGGATTACCAAATGTGCTCTTAGAATATGTATTTGCAATAACATCAATAAACTATTACACAAAAAGTTAAAATAATCCATTTCGGTCCATTCAATTTGAAATATATATCTAACCTTATTTTAATTATAGATATATTATACTACGTAGATTATAGATGGATATATTCCGCACGATTCAAAAGAAGGCGATTAATTATGAAAAAATGACATGTATATTACTAGTTCTATTGATGAGAATCCTATAAAGTTATTTATATGTTTGCGAAAACCTTACTTTTGGAAAATGGGAATCCTATAAAGTTATTTATTTTAATATATAATTAGATCATTACTCTATGTCTCTATCCGGTGGGTATGCATTGGTAATAGTTCTAAAGTAGCTCCCAATTTCCCAAACCTTCCTTCAATTATTTCCCAATCTCACAAATAAAGCATCACCACGTCATCAGGTATCTGCACTATGTTGCTCATCAAGGTAAATATATCCAGCAATCTCAAAGGTTGACTCTTGGGTGGCACTGTATGTGTTGGACAAATATACCCGTGTTGCTATTGAAATGTTTTACTAGTAATTCATAATAAATAATAAAAAATAAAAACCAATTTGTAAAAAAAAATAAAAAATTAATAAAAATATTTAAATAATAATAATAAAAAAAAATTATTTTTAAAAAAATTTTAAAAAAATATAAAAAAAAATGCAAAAAATAAAATAAAAATCACTGCCGCCTCTGCCGCCCCAACACCACCACCTCCAGCCACCAGGGGAAAAATGCCAAATTCATTACGAATGTTATATTTATGGCAAAAAACAATGAAAATGTTGGCATTATAAGAGTAATAAGCCATTTTTTGGCATTTTCAGAAAAATGGTAGTTTTTAGAAATATGACATTTTTTATACCGGTCGGAGATGTTGGTGCAGGGAGGCAGTAATAAGCCCATGTACTATTGCAAAAACATCACTTAAACTCATCTACTAAAAAAAGCATCACATAAACACATCAACTCTTAAAAAGAGATCACATAAGTACAACTACTGGAACTTAACCTCTTTTAACCGGTGGGTTGATATGTTTTTCTTTTTTCTTTACTTTTAAATCTAATTTTGATTCTCTAGCTTCTCTTCTATGCCCCCATTTGCAGATTTGTGTTTTTCTTTTCTTTTTCCTTTTTCTCTCTTTTTTCTTTCTTGCAGACTGTTCCAGCCCCCATGCGATGAACTTATTCCCACCATCTTCACTCTTCTTTTTTTCCCTATTTTCCTTTTAATTTGTTCCTTTCTTCTTTACCTTTTTAAATTTTTTTCATTCTTGTTTTTATTAATATCTATCATCCTCGCGTCCTGCGGTGTGGTAGGTATCCCAGCTCCCGTGTCCACTCTTACACTTTTAGAGGCCGTTTGGCAGCACTATTTTTCGGCTTATCAGTCTTATCAGCCAACTTTTTCACCAAACACGTAACTTTTACTTTCGCGCTCTGAGTTGTGTAATAAGCAGAAAAAGTAAGGTTGGAGTTACTTTTCTGGCTGTTTTGACTGAAGTTACTGTAGATGACCATTTTAGCTATTTTTACATATAATTTTTTCTTTATTTTATTAATAAGATATTTTTAAAAAATACTTGTTTCTTAAACCAACAGAATCAGCCAATGCAGCCACTCAGCCAGAACTTCAGAAATTTCAGCAGAATCAGCCAAAACAGCCGATTTTTGTGCTACCAAACGGGCTCTTATTTTGTCTTCTAATTTTTATGTTCTTCTATAGCTAGACAAGCATGTGAAAGAATTAAAGAAATAATCTGTTAGACTTGATTTTTCTGTACTCTTCCTAATATTCTACATATTTACATTATTCAGTTACTTATATTATAACATGCAGTAGCGTATGGAAAAAAATACGGAGTACTCTATATTAATCAAAACTGAACATAATTTCCTAAAGTATTACGTAGTACTATCGTATTTACGTACGTACATGTTTAGCCCCTTAGCTTGCTAGTTATTAATCACATATACATACGATGTGTCGAAGTATACACACACATATACTGACAGTCTGACACACACACGCTTAGCAGCAGGGTTCTAAATTGCGGACCGCACCACCTAGCCTATTGCGGCCTCAATATTGCGTTAGCGGACGGCACCGCAACCACATCAGCCCACGATTTCGGTGTGTTTCCGATCAGAGGCGGAGCCAGGACACTGGGCCAGACTGGGCCGGTACAAAGAATATTTTTGAAATTTTTTTTACACGGAATTTTTTACACTAAAAATAAAGACATTTTTAAAAGGATAAAAGTGCTTCATCTTCTCAACAATCAAAAGTGCCTATTCAAGATCCACAAGTGCCTATTCTTCAAGCTCAAGTTTCTACCCTTACAAGAAAGGTTGATATTTTGTTGAGTGCTTTCAAACAAAACATGACTTCTCAACAATCGAGCGGAATCCTCAACAATTTAAACAATGAGGTAATCTTTCAAGATTTGATGTGTTATCAAAGGAAAAATTTATATATGTTTTTTTAATAAAAAGGTGATCAGATTAATATAACTTAGTACCACGCCCAAATAGAGTATAGCAGATGATAATAATAGTGATATTATTCACATGGTGGTTCATATCCAAGTCACTCTTCTTGGTACCAGTTCCAATCTCTTGGCAGGATCCTCCAGGCTCCAGTTTAGCTATTTTCTGTAGACTTGTGTTATTTTCTATCCCAACAACATCACTCCAATGATGTCTTTTCATTTATTCACGTTAACTCCAATCTTTATTTTGACATCTTTACACTGTGTAAATGTACATGTAGCTCTGTTTTCTGTACTTAATATCAAGTCTTGTGTTAATTGAGATGCAACTTTCATATGTTTATGCAGTGCGAAGTATTTTCCATGAAGTTCCAAATCCAAATGCATGTTTAGAATCACACATTATTTTGCCTTCATTTCAGTAAAGCTCATATCATTAGGTTGATTGTGTTCTGAGTTTCCTGATTATGGATGACTCTTAGTAGATTCACTCCCCAAGACTTGATATCAATGATGTTTTGTATCATCATTGGCTTAAATGCATTTATGTCGTTATCCTGATTCTTGGCAGCACACTTGAGATGTGATTCTAAATATGGACGCAAAGAAAATAGTAGGCTTTAGGAGGGCTTATGATAAATCTGTTTCATTTAGAAAAACAAGGTAGTGTTGTAAGTTATTAGTCATGTCTTCTGTTTACAAATGTGATTATGATTTCTGATATAGCAACCTGCATTTTCTATGTATTTAATTGGAAGAAGATTTCATTTTGGTTAATAGATTTATGTCTTGTTTGGCTCTCTGGTTTATGGCTTTCTTTGATTATTTAATACTTCAAAGATTTATGGGCTTCTTTGATTATTTTCTTCAAATTTCTTGTTTGACTGATTGTTTTAACGAAAGAGTACTAAATTTTATCTTACCCCATATTTTGTAGATGATTGGTGGTGAAGCTACCCCAGCAAATGATAGATCATCAGCTGGAAGCCATCAACCAGGAGGAGCTACATAGAGATTTAGTATATTGTTGC